AACTCTATTATGGTATGATCCTTGGTTAGGGTCAGGGAACTTAAAAGACAAATACCCTTCACTATTTGATTTGGAAGCTAGGAAGAAATGCTCAATAGCTGACAGAATTTCTGGATCAACCATTTCATGGAATTGGAAGTCTCATCCTCCTGATCTTAGTCAAGGATCTGCTGTTCATGCACTCGCCAATGACCTTTCAGGTGTTCGTTTAGCCCAAGGGACAAACCACTACAAATGCAAACTAACAGGGGATGGTATGTATACTGTTAGTTCTGTTCGGAAACTCTTAGATAAACATCCCAGCCCCGTCTTGGACCCCAAGATAATTAACTGGTCCAAAGTAGTCCCCACTAAGGTTTTATGTTTCATTTGGAAGGCTGTACAAAGTAGAATATCTGTTGCTGTCGAATTGGAGACGAGGGGTATTATGGTCAATTCTCTGTTGTGCAGCTCATGTATAGGACAACAGGAGAATGCCGACCCTGTTCTCATCGGCTGCCCATTTGCATCCAGAATCCGAGAGAATATTTTGAGCTGGTGTGGAGTAACGATTGATCATAGCTCATTACGGACTACGGGAGATCTTCTTCATGCTATTTCTGCATGGGGTAGCTATCCCAAGAAAAGGAAACGGCTACTAATAATATGCTATGGAATGTTATGGAATATATCGAGGTTCATGAACAAACGATTGTTTGGTAATGAAGGTATCTCATTGATCCAGGCGACTGGAAGCATTAAAAATATGGTATTTTTTTGGTGTAAGCACAGGGGTAGAAAGGTAATTTGTAATTGGGATGAATGGTTAGTATCCCCGTTTACTGATTTGTAATAGATTGTACTACTATGTATGTTTGTTTTGGGTTCCTCATCTAGTTACTTGGTAGGTGAGACTCTCCCTTATTAATATATTTGATGTTTCAAAAAAAAAAACTATCTTTTTAGTATTAAATAAATAAATTACAAAGAACACCGTTATCAACTTTATTATTTTATTAGATAATAATATGATATTATAAATAAATAAATCACAATAGTTATTAGTTTTAGTATTAAATTAATTACAATAATTATTACTATGATATAAATATAGAATACAATGTAGTCGGGTATAATATAACAAAATTAAAAAATAAAATCAATATATTTTTCCATTATACGGTAAAACATTTTGTAATTTACTATTTATTATATTTAAATATATAAATTTCATATAATATGATTATTCTATATATAAATTGTTATTTAGTTTATAATTTTTTGTAAAACAAAACGTTTATCTAATAATAAGGTTAATGTAATGTGATTCAAAGAACTCCGCCATTATTTATTCATAATTATTTATTTGCTTTATATATATATATATATATATATATATATATATATATATATATATATATATATATATATATATATATATATATATATATATATATATATATATATATATATACACGAGAAAAGTGAATATACCCTTAAGGGTATATAAGCTTAGGTACTCAAACTCACCATAATATGGCTTTTTGTTTGATATATTTATTATAATGTTTTTAAGCTACAACCCTAACTTGATTTACTTTCAAGATTTTCGAAATTTCACTATTATTTTCCTCTTATATCATATCTTTCTGCCGAACACCTACTAAATTATATATATTATAGTTAAAAACGAAAATTATGTAAGAGAAAGATAAATGTGAAATGTATAAAAATGTTGGAAGTAAATCATGTTAGAAGTTGAATTATAAGAACATTAAACAATTACAATGTATATATGATATAAAACGACGTAATATTGTGAGTTTGGATACCTAAACTTACATATATATATATATATATATATATATATATATATATATAGCTAATAATAATAATAATAAGGGATAATGTCACTGTAACACAATGAACTTTTGTGATTTGTTCGATTTGACTAATTATGTTTTTTTTTTTTTTTTTTTTTGCGCATTAAGTCATCTAACTTTTACTGTACATGTTAATTAGGTCATTAACGTTAGTTTTTAACCATTCCTCTGTTAAATAGTTATCTAAATTACTCGAATGGCTCCTATGATTTAAATTTCTTTCGCAGTTGATCCCTTAACAACTATGGTTTAAATTATATGACCAAAATTGTCACATTTTTGAAACTTTGGGGACCGAAGTCTAACATTTTAATCATCTTCCTTAGTGGATGTTGTAGTTATTTCAACAAAATTTGTTATTATCGGACTAGTAATCATCAGAATTCGATACAACAAGAAGATGAATGCTCCGAGTGAAGATCCCGATGAAATCTCTGAAGAAGATCATTTCTTAGAGAACATATATGGAATGTCTGTTTGTTTCACCTATAAAGATCTTCAAGAAGCAACGAGTGATTTCACTACAAAGCTAGGTCATGGCGGATTCGGTTAAGTCTACCACGGTGTCCTAAAAGATGGAACTCAACTCGTGGTCAAGCGGCTAGAAGTGCTCGGGCAGGGGAAGAAGGAGTTTCAGGCAGAAGGGAGCATAATCGGAAGTATCCATCACCACCATTTGGTAAAACTCAAAGGATTTTGTTCAGAATCAATGTATCGTCTTCTTTGTTTACGTGTATATGGCAAACAGATCATTATATCGATGAATTTTTGGCGAGTTTTAGCTCGATTTTGAAACGAGATACAATATCGCAATCGGAACAGCAGAAGGATTAGCGTATCTTCACGAAGATTGCATCGTGAAGATCATTCATTGCGATATAAAACCAGAAAACGTCTTATTAGACGAAAATTTCCAATCAAAAGTTTCAGAAGGTAAAGTTGAGATCCTGTTGGATGAGAAGGATGAGCGAGTGGTGGTGGCGATTCGGGTGGCGTTGTGGTGTATATAAGATGATATGAATTTAAGGCCTTCGATCCTAAAATTTGGGATAGTGTGTTTCCTAGTAATGTTCGGTTAACTCAAATAATCACTAGATTATGCAGGAGTCACAGAAATGGGTAAGCAAGCAGAAGGTTTCTTGTTAATGGAACAAATGAAATCAGAACATAATTGTGCTCTAAATGTTGTAACCTACAACTGTTTGATAAATGGGTTTTGTAAATCAGGTGAAATTGAACGTGCACACGAGCTTTTTGATCAAATGAACAAGGAGAACATTGTTCCAAATGTGATTACAGTAAACACTTTGGTAGATGGAATGTGTAAGAATGGAAGAATCAACTGCTTAATTGTAAGTTTGATTTGGTCGTTTTCGAGGTGCTCGTGTATTTCGAGTGGAAATTGCAATCAGAAAAATGCTTGATTCGGATAAGTTTGAAGATGTGGACGACGGATTCAAAATTGCTTTACTAAGGAAGATGATTAAGATGTTAGACTTCGGTCCCCAAAGTTTCAGAAATGTGACAACTTTTGGTTATATAATTTAAACCATAGCTGGTAAGGGATCAACTACGAATGAAATTTAAATCATAGGGGCCATTTGTGTAATTTAGATAACTAGTCAACAGAGGAATAGTTAAAAACTAACAATAATGACCTAATTGACATGTACAGTAACAATTAGATGACTTAATACGCAAAAAAAAAAAAAAAGTCAAATCAAATAAGTTCATTGTGCTACAGTGATATATTTGCTTATTTTTAAATGACAAAAAATAATGTAGTTGCGTCAGGGCTTGTTGGCTTTTTGTTTATTTCCAAAGGCTTGGCTGATGCACCCAATAAAATTACATAACATGTTTACATTATTTGTTAAAAAAAGAATTACGGGAAGTTATGATAGGGTTTGCAACCGCAAGGTCAAAAAATGGACTAGACCGGCGATTTTAGGAGTTGGGGTGTAGCTTGGTGTGTAAAAAAAAACCCAAATAATATATGCACATTAAAAAAGAAAAAAAGAAATAATTATTGATTATAATTTTGGATATATAATTTTTTTTTTCTAAAAACAATGTACCATTAATATCTAAAAAGTAATTGACTTTGACTATAGTGTACATGGGGTGTATTTTGATCAAAGACACATATTTTTTAATAAATTGTCATCTGTAATACTCTCCACGACCATCGTGGAAAGCATCCAAGTCAGCCACCATGAGCAACCACGAACCACCCAAACAAGCGGTATACTCTCCACCAAAAGAAGAGAGAGAAGAAGAAGAAGAAGATGATTCGGTGTTCTCTTTTGTTCTCCCCACCACAACCGACAACAACCACGCAGGACCACGTTGTATAGGGGTGGTGCTCACCTTCATGGTGGGTGCCACCTAGCCAACCACGATTGTCCGTGAAGGGTATTTCGGATGATCTAACTCTCTAAGTTGTAAAGACAAAGTGATCATTGTTGTCCCACGTTCTTTAATAATTAATTTACACATTTTATCTAATACTATTATCGTTGTAAGTTTATAATATTTATTTTATTCTTTTCAAGTGTTTTAGTTTCGAAATTTCAATTAGAGTACAAGATTGTATCCGTGTAGTTTTATTGACGTTATTTGATCGAGATGCTAATAAGCTTCTACAAAAAAAAAAAAAAAAATGCACAAGCTTTGCTTGAAAATTTTAATCAGGTTTACTTATTTTAATTGAAAGTTACAGTAATTGTGTTATTTTGAATTCTATATTTATTACCTTACATATTTTTCTTGCTTTTATTTACAAACCGGTGATACATACATTTATCTTGCCGAATTGAACGAGCTGTTTGAGAAGAAATTTACTTTTAAAATTCTAGTATCTAAATTTAATTTTGAAAAAAATAAGTTCAAGGTTATGCAATATCAAAGTTAACTATAAACTATGATTATAAAATCGGCAACATATTACACTATGCACTTAATTACCCGTTCCTTGTGAAAGAATAGGTTAAAACACATAATGTGTAGCAATGTATATTCTATGAAATATAATAAAGAAAAACTTATAAACCAACCATTTATTGAAAAATCTAGTAAGTCAGGTTACATTAGCATACTCGAGAGTTTTAATCATTCCATCAAAATCACCACCCAAATCTATATATAAAAAGGATAATCATACGAAGGCATCGGATGATAACCATAAACATCTAACAATGGTGGTGATGGTGGTGGAGGATACACTGTGTGATAAGACCACCGCCTGTTATGTGGCCGAAATAATGGTGGTGATGGTGGTGGAGGATACACCGTGTGATAAGACCGCCTCTTATGTGGCTGAAATAATGGTGGTCGTGGTAGATTGTCAGCTGAAGATGATAAAAATATTGGTTTGTCAACATGAGTCTTACAAAAAATATCCCGACATACATTTTTATCAACTTCTGTCTTCACGTAAGCTTCTGATTTATGAGTATTAGCACCTTCTCTGTCCCGTTTCTCATCTTTTACGCATTCGCAACACGACTTTTGCTTCATATCATTTGTAAATATGTTTGCAAATTCCTTAACGAATTTCCCAAAACGTCTGTTAGAACACCTGATTGTAAAATGAAATGTACGATTCTTCTGTAAAATAATAAAAGAGTAAGACATTAGACCATATATAAAACGAAATATCAACTAATAAGATAGAATGTTTATTTTGGGAGCGAAAAGATTGTGATGTATATACCTTTTTAGTTGAAGCCTCCGCCATTGACACCTTAAGATCTTCTTCTTGAATTCTGTTATGGTGGTTAATACAAAGAGAAGTGATATATTTATAGAAGAAGGTTAAAGAATAGTTTAAATCGCTAAGTTTATTTGAGATTTTGTTTTTAAAGCAAAGATATTTAATTACAATATGGAAGAATAAGTGCATATATTTATCATATTTAGTTTATATGGGAAATATTTCAAATTTTTATTTTTATTTATAGTAAATGCAACATTGTTTTAAGATAGTTCGTTATTTTTCTAAGTCTTAAATATGATTTACTAGGATGCATTAGAAATGGATTTAAGCTTTAAATTTAACACTTTTAGTATAAATATTTGTTACTTATTAGGCTATTAATATGTGTAATTCAACTTAATTAAATGGTCTTAGTGCTTGGCTTAATAGGCATTCAAAGTTACGGAATTTACATAAAAATGTTAACGTACTTTTACACGTTTTAGGGTTAGGTTATTAACTTAACTCGTTAAGCTCCTTATAACTTTAAAATAACAGAAAAAAGGTCCTTCATAGCCCCACCAGCTGCTGGTGGGCTGATGGTGGTGGTGTGGTGGTCAACAGTAGTCAAACCACCATAAACGAAAGTAGGTTGCTAGTTTTTGGTTTAACAAACAAGGGAGTATTATTTTTTTATGCAATTTTTTTTTTGTTTTGAGACTTGCAATGACAACTAACCCACAACCATTCACTTATTGTGGTTTGTGGTGGCAGGTGGCATCACCCACTGGCTGTGGCACCGCCACAGTGTAATAAGGGGGTCCATGGACCCCATTTGAAAGTTGATATTAACCACATTTTGCTAAAATAATCTTTAAAAAATTCATGTTTTCTTGAAATTATCCCTTTTGGCACTCATTTTTGCTGAAAAACAACCTTTAAAAAATTATTTTTTGTTGAAATTATCTCTTTGGCACCCATTTTTATAGGTTCAAATTTGTGTTTAATATTTTTCACAAAAAAAAGTACTTTTGTAATATTTTTCACAAAAAAAAACTCCCAAAGAAACCTCAAAATTTTAGATTTTTTTTAGGTTCAAATTTGTGTTTAATTTTTCATATAAATATTTTTTTCTGAATCAGCCACTACCCACTGGCGGCAGTGGTGGTTCTACGGTGGTTAAGGGTGGCAACCCTCATATTCTTCCCAAAAATAATAGGAACACAAAGGCAGTAGGCTGGGCTCACCACCACGTACATGCACACATAACACAGCCACCTTACGGTGGTGTGTGGCGGTAGAAAATCATGCCACCAGCCTAGGCTGCCGGCCATGGTGGTGGTTCTCGGGGAAAAGAAACGAAATAGGATAGAAGGATGAGGATGAGGATATCACCTAGGATGCGATTATGGTTGGCATGTACCACCCCCTCCTCTCTCGTGTCTCTACTCCGGCACCCTCCTCCGACGATGGCAGTAAAAACGACTCCCGCTCGTTTACTTCTTTCTTCGATTTTGGCCGCCAACGAGGTATCACACACAAAACGGATAGTTAGGGTTCGATGGGAGATGGTATACGATCAATATAGAGGAGTTCGGCCCCAAGAAAACGAGCCCAAAACAGAATTCCCGTCGATGCTATGGATTTATATGACATTTTCATTTTTGACCCTACACTATCCCATAATGACGATTCCTACCCTCTATATGAAATTCTTAACAAAGGCAGCTTTGGTTCTTGACACTTTTGGTCCCTAATTCTTCATTATCTTTCATTGTTGAGTCTTGGACTTACTTCATCTTATCCGTTATTATTATTATTATTATTATTATTATTATTATTATTATTATTATTTAACCACTTAATATTTATTGGATCCTTTTTATTTTTTTTACCACCGATTAGAATTCTTATCCTTAATTATATAATTATTTATTTAAATAACACTCGATCCCTTAATCACTAATAATAAAAAAAGGCATTACAACACCAATACCAAAAGCAAGAATTCTCTATTTGATCATTATATATAAGCAACATAAATCAAATGTAACCAATGTTAAAATACATTAAATAACACCAAAAGCCTATAAAATATATAAGAAACAAAGGGGTAATCATCACTCCTATTAATTTTTGACCGAATTCTACTTAATAATCCCCATCATCAATCAATTAAGGCAGTGTTTGGATGTACGTTTTAAGAATGATTGTTGCACTATCAAGAATCATAATTAAAATTGGAGAAGTAGATTATTGTGGATGGTTAACTATTTTAAACTATCTTAAATTATTTGAAGCGTTATCACATTGATCTACTATGCATTCATGATTCATGTGTTAACAATGAAACAGACTGAAGAGTTAAGCTTGAAAGTTGATGAATGGACATCAAAAAAATGAAAAAGAAAATATAAAACAAATAAAGCAAAACATGAATACATTGAATTTCAAAAACTCACCAAGATGAGCAAAGATGTAAAGAAGAACAACAATAGCAATGCGAGTAGGCTACGATTGAACATCACATCAGTAATCAGTTTATATAATGTAAACTAATGTAATCTATTTTGTTACTCAAATTTTGGGATATTAAGCGTCTAATAAAAAAATTCCTATGATATGATTCCTTATATAGTGGCTCGTTATAAGTTGGATTCACATATCAAATCCTTCTAATATTTATGGATTACGTATGAATTTTAGATGATTGGATGAGATAATTTTTGATTTCCGGTCTTAATTGGTAATTGAATTGACAGCCTTAGTTAGTTAATGTCTAAAAATCAAAGGGAACTTAATTGTATATAACAATTTTTTTTATACGTAATAATTTGTGCATTAAATTATTGTATTGTACAACTGTATAAAACATAATTTATTGTATATATAAAAAATTATTTTGTACAAATCACTCTCCAAAATCAAAACAATCCCGGTTTTCTAATAAAAAGATGGTGAACATTGTTCATCTAAGTTGAAAAAATCATCTTTTTTTGGATTTCGTGGTGATGAATGATGACGGGTAGAGTTGTTTATTAATTAGATAAAACTGAATTGTCCAATTAGATAGTTTGGATGACTATTTATTTCGGATATTCAGATTTTGGATTTGTTTTCTATAGTACCAAATTATTACTTTGGATTTCGAATTGGTTTTGGTTTATAAAATAAGAATCGAATTGTCTAAAAAACCGAATAACAATTTATTACTTATTTATTTTTTATATATCTATAATTTATTATTATTATTATTATTATTATTATTATTATTATTATTATTATTATTATTATTATTATTATTTTCAAATAGATTTAAAAGGTTTCACTTAATAAAAAACCTTAATATGTATTTTCTTTCAAAAAAATATCTATAAAATATTAACTTTTAATGTATTCTTTTAGTAGTTGTTTATAAACCTTAAACCACAACTAAATTATTTGTTTGTTTCTTTATAGAGTTGGGTAATATTCTAATTATATGTGGTTTTAAAAAATATTCCGATTATTTGAAAACCGAATTATAAAAATTGATCCAACCGAATTGTAATTTGATTGGATCGGATCGGATATATGGAAGTGTAACAAGCCTTAAGATTCTCTAGGATAGAAGTACTTACAAGATAGAGGCTTGATAATGTTCTAAAAGTCCAAGAACACTAGTGTGTGTTCTTGGTGTTCTTGGTGAAACTTGAAGATCTAACATTTTGGAATGATTTCACGGATGGAAGTGTGTTAGATCACTAGATTAAGTAATATATCAAATTAATAAGGCTAGAAACACTTACAAGTTGAAGATCAAGGAGGAAAAGTCGGATGCTACTTGAGAGGATTTGAGTTCTAGCTTTGAAATGGTGAAAAAGTGTGAAAAATGGATAAGTGCCATATATATAGTCACTAGGGTTTACGGTCCAAATACCATTTGGGCCGTAAACTCCAAACTCTTGAAGTTTTTAGAACTCTATTGTTGCACAATAAACCCTAGGGCATCCTCTCTCCTAGTATCTCCTGAAGTACTAACTTAAAGTGACTCAAACTTATTCCAAAAAGATTGAAAGTTAGCAGAAACTGTTCTGACTTCTATTGAGTTGAAATGTTGTACAGAATAGAAATTTCGGGTTGTCACATCATCCCCCCGTTAGAAGGAATTTCATCCTAAAGTTAGAGTTTAAGCAAATAAGTAGTTACAAATAACTAAGTAAAAAGAAGAGGATATTTCATTTTCATCTGGTCCTCTCGCTCCCAAGTGAATTCAGGTCCTCGCTTGGCGTTCCAGCGAACCTTCACTATCGGGATACGACTTTGCTTCGTGTGCTCGACCTCTCGGTCCATGATCTCTACTGGTTCTTCCACGAAGTTGAGGCTCTCGTTGATCTCGATCTCGTCGAGTGGGATAACAAGAGTCTCTTTGGACAGAAACTTTTTCAATTTCGAGATGTGGAAGGTAGAATGTACGTTACTGAGTTCGCGTGGTAAGTTAAATTTGTAAGCTACAGGGCCGATTCTTGCGAGAATCTCGAAAGGCCCTATGTACCTTGGATTTAGCTTTCCACGCTTTCCGAAGCATATCAAGCCATTCCAGGGTGAGACCTTCAATAGAATGTGGTCACCCACCTGGAATTCCAACGGTTTCCTTCGCTTATCAGCGTAGCTTTTCTGTCGGTCTCTAGAGGCTTTCAATCATTCACGAATCTGAACGATCTTCTCTGTCGTTTCCTGTATGATCTCCGGACCTGTGAGAGTGCTGTCAGGAGATCATCCTTTAGCTGACTGGGCATCACCCACCCCAGCCCAACATAGAGGGGATCTGCACTTTCGGCCATAGAGGGCCTCGAATGGACCAACCTTTATGCTCCTGTGGTAGCTGTTGTTGTAGGAAAATTCGACAAGGGGTAAATGAGTATCCCATGCTTTCCCAAAGTCAATCACACAGGCTTGCAACATATCTTCCAAGGTCTGGATAGTTCTCTCACTTTGTCCGTTGATCTGTGCATGGTAGGTTGTACTCATGTCCAGCCTAGTTCCTAAGGAACTTTGTAACGACTACCAGAACCTCGAAGTAAATCTACTATCTATGTCCGAGATAATGGATAATGGAACACTATGCAGTCGTACAATCTCTCTAATGTAAGTTCTTGTAAGTTTCTCCATCTTGTCTGTTTCCTTGATAGGCAGGAAGTGTGTAGACTTGGTCAATCTGTCGACAATGACCCATATGGTATCAAGTCCACCCGTTGTCTTGGGCAACTTGGTTAAGAAATCCATAGTGATCCGCTCCCACTTCCATTCTGGTATCTTAGGCTGTTGTAGTAGACCGGAGGGTTTTTGGTATTCGACCTTGATCTTGGCGTATGTAAGGCATTTACTCACGAAGGTAGCAATTCCGGGTGCACGAAATAACGAGTGTTGTGCGCCTCTTTCATGACCAAGTCTCTAAAACCACCGAGTTTCGGGGTCCAGATCCGATCCATGAAATAATAAGCTCTGCCACCCTTAACCTCTAAGTTCTTTTCCATCCCTCTCAGGGATTCACCCGCCACATTTTCAGGTTTCAAAGCATCGAGCTGAGCCGCCTTAATTTGAATGGACAAGTGTGAATGGATAGCCATAGTCAATGATTTGACTCTACCACCAGAATATTCTTTCCGACTCAGGGCGTCAGCTACTACGTTGGCTTTACCCGGGTGATAACGAATTTCGCATTCGTAATCACTGAGTACCTCGACCCACCGTCGTTGTCTCATGTTGAGCTCCTTCTAGTTGAATATGTGTTGCAGGTTTTTGTGGTCTGTAAAGATAATGCTTTTCGTACCATACAGGTAGTGTCTCCAGATCTTCAGAGCAAACACAACTGCTCTTAGTTCAAGATCATGGGTGGTGTAGTTAACCTCATGTGTCTGCAGCTGTCTCGAGGCATATGCGATGATCTTACCTCGCTGCATCAGAACACATCCAAGCCCTTGATTTGACGGATCGCAATAGATAACGAAGTGTTCTATCCCTTCGGGGGAGGGATAGTATTGATGCGGTGCACAAGGCTCGCTTGAGCGTTTGGAATGCTCTCTCCCACTTTTCTTCCCAGTCAAAGGCCACACCCTTCTGGGTCAGTGTTGTTAGAGGTTTCACAATTCGGGAGAAGTTCTGAATGAACCTGCGATAGTAGCTCGCGAGGCCTAGAAAATGAGGAATTTTTGTAGGCGTCTTCAGTGCTGACCAGTTCTCAATAGCATTGATTTTGGAAGGGGTCCACGTGTATTCCCTCTTCGCTAACCACGTGCCTTAAGAACTCGACTCTTCGGATCCAAAACTTGCATTTCGAGAACTTTACATAGAG